AGCGTGAACAATGGTCTCGGCTCATTACCTAAAAGCCAAAGACTATTAATCATTGTAATAATCAATAATACTAGTTGCGTTAGTAATTGAGCGTTAGTTACTATTAATAAGATCTCTAATAATAGAAATTATAGAATAAAATTATAACTAGTTGTATTTTGAGGTTAGAAATTAGAATTTTCGAAATCTCTACAAAATACATTGCAACAAAAATAATTAGTACATTTTTTAAATGGCAATATCTTTTGAACTATTATACTTGGAGGTTTGAAATAAAAACCATTTTATATATACCAGTTTAAATATAACTGACTAGCTGTCGCGTGCGACTCTGTCCGCTTAATTACTTATTAACCTATATATTCTTCCAGGCTATGTACTAAATCTATGCTTTTCAGCGATATCCATACAGCCTGGAGATAACTTCTAACAAACACCCATCCAAAATGCGATTTTTCTTATGCATAAACTCAGTGAGGTTAACTCTTTACTTTCAATTCCATTATACTAATGGAATGGAAATTGATATGGAATGGTCTGTCCTTGGCGGTATTTCCAAACCGCTATGTCTTAGGGTTCTTCAAAAAGCAAGCGTATCACCATCGCAAAGGCCAGCAACGCATCTGCGGTTACTCTAGTATTGCCAATGTCCATGGGCGTCGTTGAACACCTCGGTGTTCCCGCTGCTCATTTGCCCCTTTCTGTTATAAAAAATTAAGCGAACAGAATATCATATCTCTCTCTGGATAACATCTAGACATGTTTAAGCCATGTTTACACTACCACATAATCGTTTTGTAAACAAATATAACATCAAATAATTGGATAGTTACCAACACTCACAATTTATTAAAAGAGTTATCATCTAAATCTGTTCGACAACATAATTGATATAAATATAATACATTAACTATGAATATCTTACACCTTTTATCTTGGCCAGAAGTATACGAGTATATATATTTGATTCTTCACCGATTGTGTTCATAAAGATAAGCGCCGTTGGCTCAGGGGTGCACTTGACTTGCAATCTGCTGGCCCTTGGTTCGAATCCCGCCGTGTATCAATGTGTTTTTCGATTAACGATTTACATATGTACATTTATCCAACGTTCATACGATGAACGAAAACGTTATGCAACCAGCACATATCTGAGAAGAGGTTTAAAGATATGTGTGAAGACAAGCAACGTGCAGTGGATCGATGTGGTTGTCTATGGCCTAATTAATTTAACATAGCGCTGCGTTCATCATCCGCATCGCATCGCATCAAGACAAAGCGTCTTTGATTGGTACGTGCGTTACGTCCGACGCGACTCAATGGACCTTTAGCTTGGAGAGTTTATAAAGTAAAGAAATATGAATGATTTAGTAGACAATATGATTTTAAATTGATAAGATTAAATAATAACGAAATTCACAATCTGTCAGTAACGTTGCAATTGTCCACAAAATAGATTTGAAAAGCTCGTAAAAGCATATATACGTAAGATGTTTTATACTAAACGAGTGGACGTGATATTTCGGGAGACGTCACCTGGCGGTTGGTCGTTTGTATGATAAATGTACGCTTTAGATCCGTCTTTAGAGACATTATAGCATCACTTTTATGTAATTTTATTTTATTACTAACTTTCCGCTGAGTTGTTGCACGCGATTTTATCCGCGCAAATAAAAAACTTAATTAGTAGCCTATGTGTTCTTCCAGACTATGTTCTATATGTATGCCAAATTTCAGTGAGATCGCAGCCGTTCCGGAGATACTATGTAAGAAGCATCCATCCATCCATTTAAATATTCGCAACTATATAATAATATAATTAAGATCAGTCAAAGTCAAAAGACTAAATACCATCTTAATAATATTATAAATACGATTGTTTGGATGCACGTATAGATAGATGGATGTTTGTTAGTAGGTATCTCCAAAACCGCTTAACGAATCTCGGTGAAATTTGGCATAGATGTAGAACATAGTCTGGAAGAACACGGAGTCGCGGGCGACATCTATCGGAATGAAAAATACAATAATCATGCATCCGTCACGTGCATTCATAAAAGTTCTGTAATAAAAGCTACGTAGAACACATTAACTGTACAAACATCTGGAGATGTCGACGTGACGTCAACAGATGTCGCCCCTCTCGCATAAAACGCCACTTCTTAACATTCAAATGAACGTGCTCGGATTTTACGAGTTTCATAGTAACACATAGAAATATTTTTACCCTGAATATTTTGAATAGCAATTGTTTTTTAATGTAACTTTTTGACAGGTTTCTAAACATGTCTGACATATTAAAACAGCAATAAGCAACATTAAAAATAGTCTATTTTACTAAGAGTTAATCTAGCATTCGAATACTGAAAGTATTTTTCATATGAGTCTAGTAGTTTTTGAGTTTATTTGACACAAACATATTGACATAACAGATTATACTAAGCTTCTTCGAGTTTATGTATTCGGGTTTGTATGTAAATTCTATTGTGACTGCTTGCAATCTAAACAACTTAACATATGTTGACGATTGAAGTGTCATGGGCGTCAGCTGTTTTTTAGAAACGAATATTATTTATTACTAATATAAACTAGATGTCGCCTGCGACTCCGACCGCACGGAAATAAGGAGAAACATAATAAGTAGCCTATGTGTTCTACAAGACTATTTCTATACGTATGCCGAATATTCAAATAAACGTCCATCCATCCATCTAAAAATTCGCATTAATAATAGCATTAGTATCGGTAAATGGACTGATAGCGAAGAGCTTCGACCAACATCTCAAGAAGCTCTCGCTAAACAGTTGGATTAAAGGCCCGATACAAAGGGCAGTTATCCTAGAAACCGCGCGCATCGTGAGAAGGTTCCTGTCTCTGCAGCCCTGACCACTGGTTGTTTGAGTCATGGGATTCCGCAGCCGGCGGTGTTCTCTTTTTAATATAATATGTTTTGTATATATATATTTTTTTATTATGAAATGTATTATATTAGAAATGTGATAAATAAATGTATACTAGCATTAATAGTAGTAATTCGCATTAATATAGTAAGATACGAATGTTTGAATGTTAGAAGGCTAATTAAGTATTTTTTTAATCCGTGCCGACGAAGTCGCTGGCGACATCTAGACTAAAAGATTAGTAGTATAACGAATTATTATTTTAATACGTATAAAGTCAATACAAAATAAGTTAAACTTGAGCTATAAATCAGTTGAAATGCTCCTTAAATATCAGGTGCTCGAAATATCGACGCAATGCTTAACATTATGAAGTGGTGAATAAATCCTCGCCAGATGTGCCGCTCAGAATAATATCGTAATTAATTTTACGTTTTATAGACTTACACAAACCTCGTTCATAATGTTTTCATTTTAAGAAAGTTGACGCGAATAAATAACACGTAAAAACAAAATAAAAATACTCTACTAAGCATATTATATTTATTATCAGACGAAAAAGCAGGAAAACACTGATGCTCTTGAAGCTAGTTAGAGGTGACTAGGTCATAGTCAACGCTGGCCCAGTGCGGATTGATTTCACACATATCTTTTCATTTCTTCGCGAATATGTGTAAAGCCAGGGTGACTCATAAAGTTTTATTTTTAATTTCCGCACGGACAGTATTGTGTGCGATAGCTATAGTACTATTTAGTATGTGTTACTACAGAGTTCGCCGTCAGTTCTTTGCCTTGCATTTGAGCTTTGCGTTTGGACGCATCCTTTTTTTTCAGAGGGGAATGCTTTATGCATACTCCTCGCCCCCGGGGGGGACGCGGTAGTTATGTGGGATTCTCCTCCATAACGGAGGCATACCCACTAAACCCCTCTGTTCCTCCAACGCATCGGGACGGGACCACGCATCCTGAGTATCTTCATGTCGGCTGAATAACGTGTAGATATATGAATTGTATACTGTATTTACAATATATGTTATAAATAGCTTTGCAACATAATTTATTTATTTAAATATTTTAATTCAATTTAAATCACAAATTGTAAAAATATATCACACGGAAAGAAACCGCTACAATTTCGATGTAGATTTACGAGAAATAAAATATAAGAATCTTTAATAACCAAGACTAAAATGTTTGTTTAAAACATATTATCTAGATAAAGATATGTCTTACACAGAGAGTTATCGCCCTTAATTTCGTCCGCGCGGATTTAAAAGAAAACTTAATAAGTATCCTATGTGTTCCAGACTATGTTCTACATCTATGCCAAATCATAATAATCCGTTAAGCCATTCCGAAGATTCAAACAAATTTCCATCCATCTAAACATTCGCATCTATATATATAAAAGAAAGTCGTGTTAGTTACACTATTTATAACTCAATAACGGCTTTACCGATATGGTTGAAAATTGGTGAGGAGGTAGCTTAGAGCCAGGAGACGGACATAGGACACTATTATTTTTACGAATTTATCTCTTGAAGAGCTGCTTTTTATTTAACTTAACTACATATTATTTTTTTATATATCCACGCTGACGGAGTTGCGGGCGACAGCTAGTTTATAATATTAGTAAGATTTTGATGTCGGAAATTCTCGGTAAATGATAATTAGAACACACAAAAACACATCACATGTGTTCAACTAATTTTGGAGTGTATCATAAAATCTTTTGTTTAGTTTAACGTAACATGTACCAGGCCGGTATAACAATAACAAATTGCCATGAACTGGTAAGGATTGATTAGTACAGTGAAACAGAATTTACGACCCTCACCTGCTCTGATTTGACGACGCATTCTCAAAGTTACTCGAATGGAGTAGACACGCCTTATTACTAAGTTTATTACTTTTGTACTAATGCCAAATGGCTTAGAAATGCGAAATTCGATTTGAAATTTAGATTGTTTATTTGGATTATATTTAACTGTTAAATAACTACATATCATCATCATCAGCTATTATACGTCCCCATAAGAGGCTCAGAGCTTACCCTAAGTAAGGGGTGACTAGGCCATAGTCAACCACGCTAGCCCAATGCGGGTTGACTTCACACAAATCTTTGGTTTCTTCTCAGATATGTGCAGCATCACAGTGTTCCCCTTTACCGTAAGAACGTCTGATAAATGTACATATGTAAATCGGAAATCGAAAAACACATTGGTACATGGCGGGATTCGAACCCAGGACCTGCAGATTGCAAGTCAAGTGCTTGACCACTGAGCCACCGACGCTCTTCTAAGCATTCGCATTTATAATATTAGTAACATTAACATACTGTTTAATAGTAAGATTTTTTAAAACTTATTCATTTATTAACCTTATTCTTAATATAGTACATTTCATATAAAACATAAAAACGGCTGCGGAGTCGCATGACTCAAACAACCAGTGGTCAGGGCGGCAGAGACGGGAACCTTCTCACGATGCGCGCAGTTTCTAGGATAACTGCCTTTTGTATCGGGCCCTTAATCCAACTGTTTAGCGACAGCTCCTTGGGATGTTGGTCGAAGCTCTTCGCCATCAGTGAGATTATTATTAAATATTTTGTTAGAAAGAAAATCTGACACTGTGCCGGTGTACGCAACACTAGCCTTACTAAAATGTTGACGTTTATGTCCCCTCACTATTGATTCTGGCACTTGACTTTGTCATGAAAGTATTTCGTTTGCGCCAAAGGATTCTAATTAATAATGTTTAAAAATTTTTGCATAGTTATAACGTATTATATTTAAATACATTGAAAATGGGATAACAATAATTTGAATACGGAAAGTATGACCATTACTAATGTACCCGGTTCGGTAGCCGTATAATTTGATGGTTGAATCTTGAATTATTCAAATATCTGAAGAGGAGTGCTACAGGGTTATACTCCAAATGGTAATGCTCCGAGACTTCTGCTTTTGTATATTTATATCGTGAAAACGTGCATTTTACAAGCAACGTCAAATATTTATGTTACATTTTATACGGCACTTTATTTACTATTTGCAAGTTTAGTTACATATGAATTAATTAACACTCAAATCCGTAATAAATTCGTAAGAAATATTATGGATGGAGTATTTTAGAATCCGTGCACAACGTCTCTAAGACTTTCCAGTCACTTTTCTAATACCAATTTTAAACAAGTGCGTTAATTCTACTAATATTAAAATCTGTTCAAAACGCCTTTCAAATAAAAATAGCAAAGTGTACAAATATAATATTTGTGTCATAAAAATAGTTGTGTCTACTAACATAAACTTTTCATGTTTTCTGCTTCTAATTTTAGATTTAGACCAACTAATTAACTAGAATGTAATAGATGATAATTACTTTTGTTTTTATAGGTGAATGGCGCGGCGAGAGAAGAATGTTGGATATAACAAGAGACAAACCTGTGAAAGTATGCGTCCGAGTTGTGGTACCCGTACGTGACCATCCTAAGGTGAGTTTAACAGATTTACGTCTGCTAAAAGTCGATTTCCACTGCGAAAGTTACCTTCTAATTAATTTTGAAACAATACAATAACACAAGAATGCTTTTAAACATTTGTTTTAGTAAATAAAATATTGGTTTATTTTAAAGTAATTTCCTAATCTTGGCAAATAATTCATTCTTGATATATACAAGAATTGTTCCTGTGATTTAATTTATTTAGCACATATTATTAAATCCTTTCCTTCCATAATAGTATTAGAACAGTTGAAAATTCTTAATTAATGACTTTCCTTTACAGTTTAACTTCGTGGGTAAACTATTGGGTCCAAAAGGTAACTCTTTGAAGAGGCTTCAAGAAGACACCATGTGCAAGATGGCGGTACTCGGTCGCGGCTCTATGAAAGATAGACAAAAGGTGCATCTAACCCTATTATAACGAGTTTTCTATTTTATAAGACCGAATGAGGCGTTCATCAAATGTTACACAATAGTTCAAAATAGTTAATCAATACATTCCATTTTACTAATATTATAGATGCGAATGTTTAGATGGAAGGATGTTTGTTTGAAGGTAACCCAAACCGCCTAAACGGATCTCGATGAAATTTGGTATATACAAAACCTATGTCTTGGAACACATAGGCTACTTATTTTTTTTACACGGACGGAGTCGCGGGCGACAGCTAATAATGACATAAACATGGAATTAATATTCATATTATGTTATAATATTTAATTGTCATTTAATTATGGGCTTATAGTTAGATATGATTTTAGGAAGAAGAGCTACGTGTGTCTGGTGACCCTAAATTCGCTCACCTATCAGACGAGTTGCATGTAGAGATCAGCGCATTTGCAACACCAGCTGAGGCACATGCGCGTATTGCGTATGCTCTTGCTGAACTGAGAAGATTTCTTGTACCTGTGAGTAGACAGAGAATTAAATTACCTTCCCACTTAAGCGATTTTTATCATACATACCGATTCTTGTACAACAATACCATAAGCACGAAGCTGTTTCTATGATGATAAGATTGAAATTTCATTGTGAGAGTTAAATTACTTTTATTTAAATGGGTAAATAAAGGTCCTCGGCTATCCTAAGGTACCCTACAATCTATATACCTGCCCTTATTCCCACGGAGGGTCGGAATAGTATGTACTACTACTCCATATATCTCTAGCAGCCGTCATATCTGAATTCACCCCATTCTTACGCATATCCTTTTTCACACAATCGATTCATACTTTCTTTTGGTCTTCACCTTTGTAGCCATCCACATTCAATGAAAGTAATGAGTACTAGAATTGAGTTAAAACCCAAATACAAGATAAAAATATTTTAAATATTTAATTTAATATACATTATTTATACCATTTTTGTAACACACTTTATGATTCTATCTTAGGACTACAATGATGACATCAGACAGGAACAGATGCTGGAAATGCAGATACTGTCCTCACAAAGCGAACAGAGACGACTGACTCCGCCAGACTCTTCTAGAAGTGGTAGCGAGGAAACCCTACCTCTAAGAGATGTAGGGCCTAAACAAAGAGTAAGTGATCATAAATAGTTAACTTAATTAATTTTTGCATTGTCTAAATCTTCTATGCTCTATATTATTAGTGTAGAGCATGCTTTAAAATCTTCGCACGAATTGACCGGTTCGCGCGTTGCAATACCACGACTACACAGAAGACAGGCGTCAAGTGCCAGAAATTCCACGTTTCCTCTGATGACTGTGGAGCTGGAGGCCTAATTTTAGTCTTCTTTCACTTCCCACCCTTTTTCTTTTAAAGTAAAGAATGGAAAGTGGAAGAGAATTTTCCGGATGGATTTCTCTTTCTGTGATCCCCTCCTCCGATTAAAGATAGGCAACGCATCTGCAATTGGGGATGTCTACGGGCAACGATCGCTTCGTTATTTAGGTGAGATGGCCGTACGCTCGTTTGCCACCTTATTATAAAAAAAAAGAAAACCTCCACAGAATAACTAATCTACGTAAGTTCAATTACAAGGTACTAAAAGAAGTTATTATAGCAGATGCCAAATATGCAAGCGGCAGTGCCGACGTCTCTCCCCGGTGGCATCGCTCTCAGCCCAGCGAATGCTCGGGAGTTCTCTCCTCCAGCACCCACACCTGCACAGGAACATATATCACATCATCAGGTAAGCCTGAAATTTATTGAGATGTTATGTTCAACATAAGTCAGGAGTCATAACATAAATGTTATGTTTAAACTAATTATGGTAGTCAGTCATCTTTAATGCTACCATTTTAATTAGAAGTAATTACCTGTCATCATTAACTCACTATACATCTCTACTGAGGGGAGCCTACCCCTAAATTACGGGGGCTACAGTCAACGCTGGCCCAGTGCAGGTTGACTTCACATATCTTTGAATTTCTTCTCACATATGTGCAAATATCATGATGTTTTCCTTCACAGTAAGAGCGTCGGATAAATATGTATGTGATATGTAAATCCATAAGTACATGGCGGGATTCGAACCTAAGTGCAGATTTTAAGTGCATAACCTCTGAGTCACGACGCTCTACCTATATTTACGGTTTATTGTTTTTTCTTTATAGTAAAGTTCTTTTAAGTTTATTTATATTATAAATTAAATACAGATAAAATAATATTTTTCAATGTTGAATATTACCTTAATATTGCATCCAACATTTTATTTGAAAAACTTATTTGAATGTACACCATTTTCTCATTGCAGTACTGCAAGACAATTTAATAGCTGCTCTTTTCAACAATTTATCACTGTCAGAGAAAAATATATATATTTAATATTTCATTCGTTTTAAATCAAGTGCACTTTGATAGCAAAATGTACTAAGAATTAATATTACAAGATGGTTTTTCAAAGTGCATTCGAAATGTTTGAGATATTAATTCCTATTTTAAAATGTGAAATTGTAACGACTTATGCAATTTTGATATAAAGAACGCTGACAACGAAAACAGAACCTTAATCGTTTTAAAATCATCATCAACCTGCTCTTTTGCCTATGTACTACATCTCTATCAGCCGTCACATCCGAGTCTACCCCCTTCTTACGCATATCCTCTTTCACACAGTCATTCCATACTTTTAAAATAAATATTTAAATTGCATTTAACTGTAAAACCCTTTGTACACAAGGCCATAATTTTTTTCGATACCTGCCTATTTTAAATGCTCAATTGCAAGCAACGGTAGCTTCATACGAAATTCGAACATCGAAAAAATATATTGTTAAATAATGGGAATGGAACTAAGACATGTGGATTACAAGTCTAAGCTTAATAATTACTTTACCGACTCCCTTATACATTTTCAAAGTAATAAGTTGTTTGTACAGATGGCGGCTAGTCACGCTGGTCACGGTGTGCTTGTGGGCAGCGGAGTTCTGCAACAAGCACCAACACATCATTTACTCACACAGAACTCTATATTGGGTGAGTTCTCTAAGTTAATTTGTGCTATTTGTCTAATCGTCTGCTGTGTTGTAACAAATACGATGAGCTAACCAATTTCCTTTAGCTTTACAACAAATATATTTATGGTTATTTATATGATATAAAATATGTATTTCGAAAACCTTCAACTTCTTTATTTTGTGTTTTGTGGCTGATTTAATGCTAACTAACCTGGTGACTAACAAGTGTTGTGCTAGGTGGTGACATCCTGGGCCTATCCAGCCCCGTGCTAGGTGGCGTGCTGCATGCGCATCCGCACCCCGCGCTTCGTGGCGTCAAGCCGGCAGCCGTGCATGCTCTCGCCACCGCGCAAGGTCGGTACGTCTATATTCAAACTATAAATACTTTATCTAGACTCTTTTGTTTGTAGTGAATGTGTTGCTTGTATTAATTCGATAATTACTAACTAATAAACTTACTAAATTACTTTTAAAATGATCTGATGAAGGGAACAAACTGAAAAAAACCTTCAGCTTCCATACCTTGATTTCAATCACCCGCTTTTGCTACCTGGAATTGCGTTGTTAGGGAACAATGTATTCTGTTACCCAAATTGCCAACTCAAGGTTATATCTAGGTATCTGTGCAGGTGCGGGTGGGGGGGTTGCGAGCGCGGGCCGCAAGCGGCCGCTGCTGGGTGGCGCGCGGGCCGCCATGTCGCCGACTAAACGCGCGGTTATCTCGCTGTTGGCGCGCGCGCGGGCTGCAGCACACAAGCACGCGCCCGCCTGGCCAGCAGCACACGCCCCGCACGCCCCACACGCACCCCACGCGCCCCACACGCCCCACGAGTGAGTTAATATCTTACCGTGGACTTATGTATTTTTGATAACAATAGATACAGCCCCCTCTTAAGCCCTTCGTACATGACACAATGGAAATCTTTGAAACCTAGTGATTTTAGTCACTAAGCGACTTACGCAATACAAATTCATAGAGCTTCGTACACAGGCTCATGTCTTGACAATTTCTTATTTCGTTCAATCGTTAAAAAATCGTCAACAAAAGTTACCGTGATTTTAAATATGACGAAGCAAATCTATAAAGTTGATATTAAATTACTTTCAGTGTGATAGGAATCTTAGTTTTGTTTTGTTCTTCTATTTGCGTAAATAGCCTTATGGGTTTCGGATTTCCGATCATAAGGTCGTTGGTTCGAATCCCGCCATTCGACTATTGTCGTAAACCATATCCTAGCATAAACCTAGAGCTTAGTTAGTATGGTACAAGAAATATTAGTAAATTTACGAAAATCTGCTTATATTTTATAAAAAAAAATAATTATAATGTGCATTAATATTACAGACATACGGCCCTCCTGCCGCTTATCAGAGACGAGTTCGTCGCGGGCGTCGGGGTCAATATCAACTTAGCATAAATTAAAGACGTTACATCAATAGTTAATATATTAATAATCATTAAACACGTAGACATTTCTTAACTGATATAATAAGCTTATATTACATTCTCATGGTAATCCTTGCGCAAACTGAATGGGTTATGGTTAATAATTTAGTTTCCTCAGTTTATCACGTTCTTTTTTATCTATACATTTTTGACTGACGATTTAAAGAATACATAGACTCAATTTTAGTATATATACCATTATCTATATAGAGTCGTGTTCCACTAGTGCGACTGCACTGCTAAACCGCGCGACAGTCGCGCGACTAACTGTTTAGTGGAAAATGAATACGGCCGCTATTCTTTGCTTGGATATTGTCAGAAATGATTATTGAATTAGACCCATTCTGATTGCTCGGGGATTTAAATAAATTTTAATGTATTCATGTGCCATACTTTTTTTTACCAAAATCAATCCCTAATCAGTATTAAAAATATATATCAAAGTCTACAAATTTGATCAATATATTTGTATATACAAAATGGAGTAAAATCTATATTGACCAGATTAGAAAATAAACTGTTTAATTATTTGTCAATTTTCTAAGAACCCCAAATTTATTTAAGGCTATTATATTATTTATTAAGTAAAAGGACCATGGTGTATTTAAAAATTTATATATCCTAGGCCTTCTAGATATGTAAATAATTATTATTATTATAGAAAAATCATAGAATAAGTACAGACGATGAAAATAATAAAATTATAAAAAAAAAATAGTTAAATATATAGAATTTATAAATATTTATTGCAAAACAATCTCCTTTATAGCAATTTGAACTTCATAATAAATTAACATAAATTATCTGAACACTGCTTTATAATAAAAATATATTTAATAATTGCTCAAACAGCACATTATTAATAATATTATTTTAATATTATAAAACTTATTATCACAAATATATATGTGTTTTATGAGCACTAAGTATTCCGAATTGTAATTTTAATATTAACAATCTCATAGTTAATAATATTAATTTTTTAATATCGAATACCAAAGTAAACAAATTATTCAGCATTTAATATTGCAAAATAAAATTAGAACAAATTTTATTTCTATACATTACACAAAAATATTCATTAAAATTGTGGGATAAAGTAAAATAAATGTTTTAAATATTATTAATAAAATAATATTCAATAATTTTATGTAGAAATAATAGAAATTTATGATTAAATTATTATAATATTAAAATATAATTTAAATCATTAATAATAAGATGAAACATAATAAAATAAGTATTAAATTGTAGCTTAAATATCTCGTCTGTGTTTTGTGATATAATTATAATTACATACATTAATATATATAATTTGTTTGTAAAATAGTATTTATGCCACGTATATTAAATATGTATAAATATATATTAAAACAACGAACATTCTTTTCTAAGCGAAAACTTAAAGCATTGGCCATATAAACTCTTCTTATAACCATATAAACTTTCTATATCTTGACAAGAGAAAATTTAGTTACAAAGAACCTTACAGCTTTCAAAATTTCTTATTAATCCATATTTCATTTTTATATATGCAAAAAGATCACAATAATAGGAAATTTTCGTTGTTTATTTATATGCAAAGAGTATAAATTAATATTGTTTATAAAATAAGCTATTTTATTTTATTTAACTAAATGAAAAAGTTACCTATTTATGAAATAATTATTAAATAGTTATTAGTTTATTTTTTTATGTTTATGTTGTGTAAGTTTTTTGTACACGTTGTATTTGCGATGGTTTACTATTATTAAGTTTATTATTTTTTAGGTTTATTTGTGTTTTTATGAATTAAGTCTAAAACTTGCTACACATGGACAAAAAAATGAGACAGAGTATGGCATGACTACTATGTATGTGCAATATTCTAGCACTTTGCACATAAAAAGTGTACTTACATGGCGTGTGGCGATTAGTGACGTCATTCGATACGTCTCATGTTTTTGTTATGAGTAATATTGTGGGTTAGTTTAGTTGCATTTCGTAGATTTTATGTCGAATATTTAAATTACAGATTTATACAAAAATATTAACTAAAATGTATTTACCAAATGTTTGTTTTTGTATTCGTCATTTTATATACAAAAATAGAATTTTTCTGAGAAGTTATTTAAACTGATATATAAACACGGCTAAACACTCACGTATATACGTCCGGTGGCGGCACTGACTAGTTTCGAGCCCATCGGGGGCCCTTCATCAGGATGAGTGGTACTGGTATTATTTCGCGGACGCGGCCCGTCGCTCAGAGCGAAACTAGTCGGTGCCGCCACCGGACGAATATACGTGAGTGTTTAGCCGTGTTTATATATCAGTTTAGTATAATGTCTCACGAAAGTTTGAATAATTTATTTGACAAAAGTATTTTTTTTATTTTAATATTCTTCATATATTCTATATACAAATATAAATAAATATAAATTATAAATATTAAATGCTTCTACGATCAATAAGCAAATATAATTTAATGCGTCTGCACTGATATAGTTGTTAGAAATATATCTGTAATCGAATTGTTGCATTTTCATTCCAAACCCTTTATTCCACAGCAAAATTACAAATGAAAAATTATTTATTCCGTTACTAGCTGTCGCCCCTGACTTCGACCGCGTGGAATTAAAAACTTAATAAGTAGCCTAAGTGTTCTTCCAGACTATGTTCTATACGTGTGTGAAATTTAAATAAAAAATTATTAGGCCGTTCCGAGGATACGTTCAAACATCCATCCATCTAAACATTCGCATTTATAATATTAGTAACATAATAATGTCTCGAGAAAGTTTAACTTGTGTAAATAAGAGTTTATTTTCTTAAGATTTGCATCTCAAGCATATGCATAGCATGCGTTTTAAGATATTTGAATAATTCAAGACCCTGATGACGTTAATTGCAACCCGACGTACAGACTTAACTAATTATTGTAACTATCATATTGGCATGTCAGTCATAGCGAAAAGATAACATTACCAATCTTATTCTTACTAATATTATACATGCGTAAGTCTATGGACGGATGTTTGTTTGAACGTATCTCAGCTCATCTCTCAGAACAGCTGCATGTATTTCACTAAATTTGGCAGAGATGTAGAACATAACCTGGAGGAACACATAGGTTACTAATCAAGTTTGTTTTAAATTACACACGGAAGGCGTCGCGGGCGACAGCTATATAAAGTTAAATTTCTACCTTATTTCTTGTACACCAAGTCTGTTACCGCCCTTATTTGTCCCCAACATCATTAGCGAGCGTCAATCACGGCGAGTCACAACACGCAACTATTCAGCCAGAAACTTCCAAATTAATTTCTCACGCAAAGTTTGTTTATAATAAGCGTCATTAATACTACCGTAACTATGACAGAGTCAAAGATATACACAAATAGAGTACAACACGAATATTGGGTGATCAAAAATAATAAATCGTAACACTATAGAGAGAGAAATCATCCTGACTATTTGTATGTATATCATTAATTTGAAGCAACCATTGGCTTCAATATTACAAGCAGCCCTAAGGTCCTTAAATTAGAACTAAAAGCACTCGAAGCTAATAAAGTAAACATAATTTTAAAAATAAAAATCAGACCACTGTAATTGAATAATTCACTGAGGTTTTTACATTAGGCCTATTGTAACCTGACCGCTGAATCGATTTGTAACTTAAAATGTGGTATTTGATCCGTTTCCTGCCTCGGAGTGTCAATACAATGCAATGCGATAGTAATGTTAATTACTAAGTTATTCAAGTTTCTAATTTTTAAGTTACTAAGCTTTCTAACATATTTGAATCAGGTCAAATCAGTAAATACGATATCATTAAATATATTCATTGGCGCGGAAGCTCATTGATTACATATTATAATAGATTTGACAAATCAAACGTGTATTGCTGTATGCTGAATTATGCATCGAATAATATACAGGATGTTCGATGATTTATTAGTCATTAGTCATTTAGTCATTTTAAATACGATTATTTATCAATACCCATAAAAAATCCGAAAATGTGGCTGCGTATTGACTCAACACTAGCCTTACTATAATATCGACATTTGTGTCCCCTCACTATTCATTCTGACACTGGACTTTATAACAAAAGCGCGGCAAATGTTTAAAACTAATATTATAAATGTTTAGATGGATGTTTGTTTGAAGGTATCTCAAGAACGGCTTAACGGATCTCGATAAAATTTTGCAAACATATAGAACATACTCTGGTAGAACACATAGGCTACTTATTATGTTTTTTCAATTACGTACGGACTGAGTCGCGGGCGACAGTTAGTGTAGTTATAGTCTATAGCGATCACAAGCAATAAACATACATACTCGTATAATATGTGTATGTATCAACACACATACATACATACGTAAAAATATTTCTTATGATTTTCTAAACTATTATAAAACTTATTCATTTATTAACCTTATTTGTAATATATTACATTATAAAATTATACAAAATATATTATATTAAAAATAGAGCATGACCGAGTGCGGAGTCCCATGACTCAAACAACCAGTGGTTAGGGCTGCAGAGACTGGAACCTTCTCACGATGCGTGCGGTTAAACATTTCTTATGATTATTTTTAGTACGTCGAAACCATCCTATATAATAAAACTGAAGTACATCCTGTATCTAAATATAGAGTCGTTTAAAGCAACTGGTGACATGAATGACCATAACGCGGTCACAGCGTGCTGAATAAATCTTCGCAGATGTGGTCCATTATGATGATTCATATTATATAAATGGATCACATCTCTTTTAACATAAAGACATTGCTAATATACTTATAATATATTTTAAATTACAATGTATATACATAGTTTTAAAAAACTCTTCTATGGTGGGTTTCTGTGTTTAAAATCACCGTTTAAAACATGTTGTTGTCTCTGTGTTGTTAAATATAATGATAGGAATCACGATATGTTTTATACAGAGATTTTGAGAAACCCACGGTTAGTTTAACATCAAAAGGTTAGATTCTTTTGTTTCTGTTCTATGAAATGTTTTTATTCTTTGACTTTATTTCAATTTCGTTACCTGTCAGAACTCAACAGAAGTTAATTAAATCTCGAAACAATACTGTTCTCTAAAAAAAACTGGCCAAATTAATTTCCTTTTGAATTCCATTTATCTACGTTTGCATATTTCACTTGCAACAAGAAAAAATTAAAAACGAAATGGCAACTTCATTTTTATAAAAGCTTAATTTTAAGCACTAAGGTTTTGTTGTAACTATTTACTAATGTTACTAACTTTAATTATTTAACAGTGCTATCAGTAACGAGACGTTGGTATTGACGTAGACGTAATCGTAAAGAGATACAAACATCTACAAGTACACGTACACGTAGACGTAGCCGTAGACTTTCTCGTAGACGTAGTTGAAGACGTTGACGTAGGCGTAGTTGTA